GCCAGAATTTATAGTTCCAAATTGCAAAATGCAGTCCAATTTGTCTTTGTAGCTCTTACTTTATTTGGTGTTGGACTGTTGGCAATAAGAACGCATCGTCGTTTTTTCGCATACAGGATTTTCTGCTCCGGCAAAACACAAGAAATGAATGATGTTTTTGATGCTGCACTCGAAGCAATTGGTTTTTCTTCTGCCTCCTCAGAAGCCATACTGGTGACGTCGACAGGAAGCTGAAGAATAGAGGCAACTTTTGAGAATCGCTCCTCGCCTAAACATTCCCGAATCTCTTGAGTCATCCTCAGTTCTCTCTGGAAAATTTAAAACAACGAAAAATTTAATTATGAAAATTTATAAAAAAATTTATAATATCAAAAGTTTACCAACTTTCAATATTGTACATCATTGCTTTTGAGTACACCCGCCGTTTTTGTTTAAAATTGGTCACGACCGTCGCACAGCATCGAATGTTTGTATGACGATCGTGTCTTCTAGGCGTACTTGAGTCAATCATTAATTTTAATATCACTACAATCGAGCGGACGGGTATGGTGCGTAGAACCCCTGCACTCCATGCACAAGGAGACCAACAATGAACTAAGTTATTAGAAAGAAAAAAATAAATTGGGCGTATTTCTGTCAAACGGAACCATGTGCATTAAGACATGAGCCCTGAGACCCATAAGAATACATGCATAACAGGGCTCATGTCATAATGCACAGAGTTCCGTTTGATAGAAATACGTCCAATTAAAGAAATAAAAATGAAATAAAAGCTAGATTAGATTTGTATTTGACTCACGACTCGGCAGAAAGGTTTCTTTCCGTCAATTTTTCGGACTCACATGGGTGCGCCTGATGGTCTAGTACAGGTGCACAAATTCACTCACGCGCGAAGTTGGGCCTCACACGTTATCACCAGTTCAGCGAGAAGTGTTAGCACACCCGAGAAAACCCCAATTTCCACGGTCATAAAAACACCATCAGATCGTGGCGGGAGGTGAATTCCATACAGAGCGGTTTCCATGGAGGCCAACTCGCTGTTTGTTCCATAGCATCGGAATGCACACAGCAAGCATTTGAAGCCTTCCACTACCGTGCTAAGGAAGAACGCCGCATGAACATTTGGGCGTTGTCAAATTTCCTTTGGTAAATCACGAATTTTCGGGAAAATTTTTAAATATTTTTCTTATAATTTTTCAAATACTTTTGTTTGCAATTTTACCTAATGTTCTTGAAAATTAATCGGAAAAATATCCATAACTTTTCTCAAGAATAAACATTTTATCGGAGGAAATTTGGTAATTCTCGAATGTTCATACGGCGTTTTTCCTTAGCACGGCAGTCTAGGTTTTTTTTTTTTTTTTTTTTTTTTTCGATTCTAATCTTGTGCAGTCCGTTTTACATTGTTTTTTTTTTTTTTTTTTTTTTTTTATTTATGAAAAAAACTACAGAGTATTAATTGTTTTTACATTATAAGGTTAAAATATGATTAGTAAATGAACTTTGAACTTTTGAGTCTAGCTTAATATTAGACTCTAACTTATAACTAAATTATATATAGGTACTATGTATAATTGTTAATTTAGTTGTTAGTTCCTCCCCCTACGCCAGTGTCAAAAGATGAAAAGCTGACAAATTCAAGGAAATGTTGAATGAGTCTAGGTATAACAAGCGAATGTTCCACTGAAAATGCATTATGCATCTGTTGTTTCTATAAATTTTGGCGGCGAAACTACGAAAAGCAATCGATTACAATGCTCACAAGTTCCCGCTTCTACTTTACATTTCAAAAAAAAAAAAAAATTACCGGCCTCGTTCATACGAAATTCTTAGAGAATATTTTTAGAAAGGCATAGAAGAATCACACGAATTTCATAATGAAAATTGCCAGAATCGTTAAGCAGAATCATCCGTCAGATGGTATATCGGTATTGTGTTGTGCCTGAGCGAGTGAGGAAAGCCATCGCGCCTTCAATCTTATGTTTATGCAACATTGACTGCCATGGAGTACGAATAGTTGTACTCAGGCCAGGCGTTGACATCGACGTCTGCCGCGTTTGTTGAGTGAGGTATTGCTTGGCTAAAATTGTTTCGTCATTTTTATAACGATGCGCAATATTTGTCATCCTTCTCCTCCTTTGATACACGCAGAGATCACGGTATACGGAACGGACCTGCGTCTCAATTAATTTTTAAAAGATTTTTAATCCTGAGATGCGCATGCCTAACTACACTAGTGCATAGTTTTCTAATAATTTTCCCCCTTTTCTTTTCTTTTTTTGCGTGTGGACTGCGAACATACGTCAATCATGGTTGTTTTTTAAGAAAAAGATATGCAATCGAAAATGAGTACCTACATCAAATATCGATTTATCGACGTCCGATACATCTCGAACTTTGACATTTTTCGTCATTTATTCGCATCTAAGCGGGGGCCAATTGTTAAAATCAGTAGACAAAGAATACATGGAGCGATCCTAATGGTTGAAATGGTTGGTTCCGATAGACTAAGGAAGAAAATTATGGATTTACTGTTGAGTCTCTTGTGGATTGCTGTTAGTTATTCTATTACTTACCTCCTTTATCCAATGCAACCACCAGCTTCTACCAATAGAGTCCCTCCATATCCTATTTGTCGTCTCTGTCAATAGCTTTGTCTACCAATTTCAATAATCAGCCCGCACTAGACTTAGACGTTTTTAATACACCTATATTGACCAGTATTTTGGATTGAGGATATTTTGCGAAATGAACCAATCATTTTTGTCAAAAAGGACGTTAGCGAATTTAAGCTTCTCTTCCAAAATGGCTAAAATGACGCCACTGTTTTGAAACGACGTAAGTAAAAGGTCCTGGTACTTCTATAATCGTACTAATTTCTTTAAAAGAGCCTTCGTGATGTCCATTTTTTCTTTTCAATTTTATTATTAACTTTCAAAACGTGATTGGGCGTGTAGAGTCCTCTGCTATCCCTACTGAGGCATGGGACTCGATCGAGTTAGTTCGTCGCTCCCCCGACGTAAGGGCGAATCTCAGTCACCCCGTGAGCCCTGCGCTCCAAACATTTCTATGATTTCTGGGGCTCATGGAGAAATGGAGATGAGCTCTTACGTCAAAGAGGCGACGGAGTTTTGTGGATTGTCCCCACTGCGAGGCGAGCCAAGCGGCGAATGTTGATTCTTCATCTGAAGAGCTTTGGCTCGGAATGAAAATAATATCTTAAAACTTTGCGAGAAGTTGCGACAATATTGGAATACGGGAATCAATTTGCCTCGGAGCTGCAGCGGCAGTTTCTCACTCCTCGCCGAGATGCGCTTTGAAGGCGCCGACATAACAGCCGGAGCGGCCCCCAGCTCGTTACGGCAACGGCAACAAAAGTTCCTCCGTCATGTCAACACTCACCGGCGTGTGCGCTTTTTCCAGATTTCCACGTCAACTCTCATCCCGTCAGCTCTCTCCGGCTCATGCCTTCGGTATTTTTAATCACAGACGTCNNNNCCTCCATTCAAAGAGTATGCACAACGAGTTATTTCTTTCATTTAGGACACGGCCCGATTTTCCTTGGAATTGCTATTGTTTTAGGAGTCCTCCGATTCA